TCCCAGGACTCAGCATTTCACCGATCTTACCTTTTCTCTCCGCCACTGGGGCTTCGGGAGATGATCCAACGATCAAACAGAGGAGCCAGAAAGCTCTAGCTGTCATTTTCGTAGACACGGTTCCCAGGCTCTAAAACGGAGCCTGGGCTTTTGCTCTTTCTCTCCCCCCACCCCTTCTCCACACCCCCACCCCCGTTCATGCTAATGAGGGGCAGCCTTTGGGGAAACGGGAATCACTCACTGAACAGACCATTGGAACAAAACCGAGCTGCAGGGATTTCTCCCACTTCCTAAGGGGGGACGAGCACATGGCCTCTCAAAGTTGTCCCTGCGAATGTCCGTGGGCAGTGACAACATCAAATCCTAAACCTGAAACCCGTGTGGGTTTGCGGACTGGGGTGGGGGGGTGGGGAGAGGGTGGGGTGGCAAGTGGAGGGAATAAGGGTGTTGAGGGGCTAAGGGACAGGGTGGGGGGGAGAATGAGTGATAGGAAGTTTTTGCCAGATTAAGTCAACAAATAGGCAAATTAGTGCTGAAGACAACTTGAGCTTGTGGAAGGGATTCAAGATGACAGGGAGGAATTCATCCGGGAATGTGTCAGGGATTCTAAGAGAAACCAAACCTAGGTTTGCCTAAACTATTTTACTATATATGCCATTTTTATATTCTAGAACCAGAAGGAAAAACAGCCTTAAGCAAGATAGCTTTTCTTCTCCTTTCCTTTGCTTCCTTCCTTCCTTTCTTTTTTTCTTTCTCTCTCTCTCTCTCTCTCTCTCTCTCTCTCTCTTTTTTTTCCTTCTCTCTCAATTGAAATTGGTATCTCCTTGGCTACATTCATCAAGCCCATGCTGAGTGCCTTTTACCCAACCAGGTGCTAGGAGATAAAAATGAGGAAAACACCTTCCCAGGTGTCTAACGATGGCTCCTCTCCCCGAGAAAGGTAGGTCGGTTTCTCTCTCTCTTTCTCTCTCTAAGAAAAATATACTCATTCACAGCTTAGGTCTGAATTCTCAGAACAGCTCTACATATCAGTCCTGAGCTAAGGACCCTCTTCCTCAGACTGAACAGAAACAGCATTCACCAAAGGGGGACCTTCCCCAAAGGTAAGCCTACAACCTTGCCACTGTGTATCTCCTTCCAACAGCTTCAAATCCAAAAGGAAGGGGAAATGCACTGAGATGAATGCATTTCAACTGGAGCGTACGAGCCAGCAGTGAGATGTAGCTGCTAAAAGAAATAACAAACTTTTGCTGCACCCGTATCTCATGTCTCAAAAATAATAGTGCTCGCGGGCTGACCAGATTCAGGGGGGATCACGTTTTCCAGAAAGACCCTGGGAGGCTGGGAGAACAACAGGGGAGTGAGAAGGCTTGATTCCACCACCAAGTTCCTTCACAGGAACTGAGGCTAAGCAGCCGAGGGACGCAAAAACATCTGTGATATTTTGTGAAAGGACCAGTAGGCAAAAGTTGTAAGGTGACAGGCTTCATTCTAATTTAAGAAAAGATATCCTCAAGATCCTTGAGGATCAAAAGATCCTCAGGATCCCAACCAAGATCTCCTAGAAAGCAGACCGGTTTGAAGGGTTGTGAGACCACGGAGCCACGGGAGGCATCCAAAGAGAATGTGATTCAAGGATACCGTAGAACAGGGACACCTGGCTGGCTCAGTCAGAAGAGCACGCAAATCTTGATTTCCAGGTGTGAGTTTGAGCCCCATGTTGGGTGTAGAGATCACCAAAAATAAATAAACTTTTTTTTTTAAAGGGATACTGTGGAACAGTTTCCTGAATTCCGCGTATTGTGGTTTGAGGGAGACAGTGAGGTAAATACGTTCATCTAGAGAGGAGCTGGCCGGCTAGTCACAGGCTGACAATATGTTGGAGGGGATCACTATCTTCTGCCGTCCGATCCTCAACTTTCCTCAGCTTGAAACTCACTTATGTCAATGCATCAGATTTGTAGGACTGACTCATATTAACCAAACTCATAAAAAGAAGATGTATAAACCAGAATGTCATTTACTAATTTGCAATGGAGAGGATACAGTAAAGAGGATTCAGCGATCTAATTACTAACCACAAGTTTTCTTGTTGAGCGCAACACTGAAATGCAGCTCATGGTGGGCTAATCTTCCTCATTCGGGCTTTAGAGGGGTGAGTTCTCTATTTCCTCCAAAAGAGCAAATCTCTCCAGTTACTGCAAGGCCTGTGTATACCAGCGTCAATGTCTCCAGCCTCTGGCCAGGACTGGATAAACACTGTGAAATTTGTGTTCTCGAGG